ACATTCATGTTGTCGATGAAGAGGCCAGAGATGGCTCGACTGGACGCCTGTTCCTGATTCAACATCTGGATGACCGGCATTCGCACGCCTTTCCTAATCTGTTCCCTTTCCCACCGGTCTATCTCGTCCTCCGACGACTCCGACTCAGACCGCGACATGTCTTTCGCCTCCTCCTCCTCCTCCTGAGCCATGAGAAACGCCTCCTTCGCCTTCTGTCTCTCGATATTATCTCGATTTATGGCGAAACTGATCCTCTCGTCGTCGTCGTCGTCCTCATCGCTCCGATCGTTGTCGTCGTCGCGAATCACTCGTGAGTCCGACTCCTCATATCTGTCGTCGTCGGCCAACGGAATGATGAGTTCGTCGATATCTCTCGCCATTTGTCGCTGTTTTTTGAGCTCATAAATGGTCTTCGCGTCGGGAATGACACCCCTTTCCAGGGCTCCCCGGAAGTGATGGAAGGGTTCGTTACTCTTATACTCCTCGGGTTCGTTGTCTTCGTATTCGCTGTCGGACTCGATCTGATCCCCGGAGAAGATCTTCATCTCCTCTTTCGGCGGACTCTTTGGCTCCTCTTTAATCTCTTTAGACTTAATCCAAATCACATTCAAATCGTCTCTATTTTTATCCTTATTCTCGTCGACGGTTTGGTTCTCTTCGTTAGTCTTCACCTCTTTCTTCACATCCCTCTTCTTCTTCACGCGATTCTCCCTCTGATTGGCTAACCGTCGGCTATACGAAGACTTCTTCACTTTAAACACATCGCTCTCTACGGATATAATAAACCACATAATTATCAACACATGTCTTGTGGTCAACCCATCACTACATACCGTCTTCTTCTTCCACAGCGAAACTCAGTTTAGGATTTGACGCCACTTTCGGCTTGATTTCCAACTTTGGGATCAAATCCGTGTCAATCTTGTGGTCACTCTTAATCCCATTGTCACTGATGATTGGGTCCAACTTTGTCTTCACTTTGAATTTACTCTCAAATCCATCCAAATCGGCATCAATTGAGTGATTATTATCCTCATCCGAGTCGTCAAATCTGGTCCTTTGATTGGATTTCTGGGACTTGCGGTTAGACTTCTTAAACAACGACATCATCTACTCGTTCACGTGGACATGAAACTCGTGGTGAACTCAAGTGATAATCGCGAGCGAGTGGTAAACACGAGACACGAGCGAAACGATTGGCAAATGTTTGATGTGTTGTCTGAATGTGAGACCAGATGTCACTCTCTGTTGACACAGAAAGACATCCAATTGAGTGACACTTTGCGAGACAATGGATGACAACGAGTCGCTTGTGATGGAGAAGTTGGAGTGTCTTAAAGAGATCAGGTATTCGTGCCATTCATTCATGTCATTCACCACCGATTCACTACCTCTTCAGCCCATTCAACGGACCGTTAGATTAGGCGTTCAGTCATTGCTGTCATATGTCATGACATTTAATGTCTTAAAATCAATATTTATTATCATTTTTCTGATGACCTGTTCCCACATTCAGACTCTATGAATGTCTTGTAATCATATGAATCGCGTGTCTTTGCGTGGATCGCATCCACTGATGGATTAGTTGTTTGAGTCACTGTTTTTAGCTATCAATCAGATTATCGATTGAATAGTTTTTTTTGCAAACATGTCTTCAGTTATTATCGATCAATAGATCCCTTAATAGATCCCATGCTTAGTGACAGTGAATGACAATTATCTGACCCTTTATGTCAACCCCACAGGACTCGCACTCTTCAGTTGGAGAAACTGAAGGGTCGGCTGAAGTCAGAGGTGGAGTCGACGGAGACGGAGGAGCGATGTCTTCAGGAATATCGGCGCGAAATGGAGCTCTTGATTCAGGAGAAGATGGCACACGTGGAGGAACTGAGACAAATACACGCAGACATCAACGCCATGGAGAATGTGGTGAAACAGGGCGAGGAGGACCGGAACCGACACCTAGAGAACGCCAAACACCTGCACCAGGAGTTCCAGCCGCTTAAGGACCTGATCGACAAACTCCGGTCAGACATAGGTCTGCCGCGACTGCCGGAACTCCACGAGGAGTGCGACAAATTCAAGCCCGAGTTCTTCGACAAACAGAAGCTGGAGTGGCATCAGATGTGTCAGGACGTGGTGAACGAACAGGTGATGCCTCAGCAGCTGATGGCGGCCACCGCTGCCGCAGCGGCACAACACATGCATTTGGCCGCCTCGAGGACCAAGCAGTCGATGTCTGTCCAGCAGAATCAGCCGCAGCCGCCCCCTCACCACCAGACTATGAACGCGTCGGTTCCCGAGCGCCCGACTCCCGCCGCGTTCCGACAACAGCCGCCGCCCATGAAGTCGTGTCTGTCGTGTCACCAGCAGATCCATCGCAACGCTCCCATCTGTCCGCTCTGTAAAGCCAAGAGTCGGTCCCGTAATCCCAAGAAACCGAAGCGTAAACTCGAAGATTGAACGGCAAAGGGAACGGCTGTTCCTCGCCTATCGATCGATACGATTGTCGTCGACTGAAACGAATGGAGGGTTTCCTCTGAAACCAGTATTTCATACTCTAATCTATACTTAATATTTTGATTTTATTTTTTGATTTTTATATTTACATTGAAAGCAATTATGTGCCAAATTTTTAGACTACTTAAAAGTCATGTGTTTTATCGACACTTAAATACTTAATTCATTCAATCATTTTTGTCGTAATGTAATAACTGTTGTGATTGTAATGTGTTTTTTGCCAAACATTTTTAGGCTAAATATTAGCTGTCAATATGTAATCTTTTCATTCAATAAATAAATCTTTTGATTTAAATCCTTAATAATTGGTAATAAACTTATTCCTTATGTCTTAAAAGCATTATAAGTGCAGTGTATCTGTTTGTTGGATATGTAACGCAAACCCACTTTTTTGTTGTATAACTGATTATACGGAGTAATGAATGGCAAACATCAGGCAAACCATTCAATTACCGTACAATTCGTTCAATCAATTATCGTCTAAGAGGGCCAGAGTTAGACATAATTTATTTGATTTGAAGCCTAAGTCACGCCATATGTATGTTAAGCTCAGGGCTGGAAACAAATGAAACATTTTGTTCAAAATTTATTGAATCAATGGCTAGTCTAAAAATCGCGTTGTGAATAGTCTGACAGAAAAAGTATTATAAATCCTGATGAGTTATGATCGAAACCAGTCTATTATAAAGAGACTAACAGTTATTATCGGAAATTTGTTTGGGGTTTGGGTTTAGAGCACTTCAAACAGAGAGAAATGATAATAATTTTTTGTTTTAAAACTTTTTTATATCTATGGCTCGCGTGACCGGACATGAAATACTGGAGAGACCTGTCATATCGACTTTGATTCCCATAACTGATGTTCGTTTGGCATCTAATAAATCGCTTCAATATCTACTCCCCATTGAAGTAGATATGAGTGAAAACACTCGGCGACGACTGAAGAATATCTCAGGAATTTGATTGTGAAATATGTTGTGAAAAATCTATTTTCAATTTGTTTTCCCAAAAAATAAAATATTTATTACTCCTAAAAGTATAACAGAATCTGTTTCGGGCGTTTGAATCGACAAACAAATTAATAGGAGATCTCATATATGGGCAAAACATCGAGTCTCTGAGTGAATGAATAAAAATGAGCACATTTTCAGTCCAGAGAACTCACATAATGTGATGGGAATCGACCGAAAAAATAACACAGAGATGTCTTCTCAGTTGAATAAAATGTATTTTATGTTTATTCAAGATTTCTCTCTTATTGTAACTCAAGAACTGAATGAATGAAACGGAAATTTTTGTTCTCGTATTTTGTTTTTTCTCATTCAATGTCTTTTTCGTATAATTCCTTTCATTTGTTTCTTTCCCTTTTATCCGCACAATAGAGGAAAGGGATGAGAGAAATACAATTGACACGAAATTAATTTTCAAACTCCTTTTGCTTTTCAAACTTTATTTTTATTAATGATTACGTTTTTCACAGTTTTTATTGTTTTTGATATAAAAACCACTTATGATGCAAAGTAATGTAATCTTTAATTAGTTTTAAGTTTTTTCATATAAAACTTAATATTTTATATAATATTTGTTTTACTTTTTCTTAATTAAAACAGATATGTTTTAAAAGATAATACTTTTGTTGATTCATTCTAACAGTTCTTATATAATAAATATTTTTTATAATTTTTATTCAAAAAACTTTCAATAATTAACATGTTATGAAATTATTATATAATCATTATTTGTTAATTATTAAAACATTCAATATATACACATTTGTATTTATTTAAAACCAAGTACAAGTTGTGTTGAATAAATCTTAAAAATTTCTCAAACCTTACAAACGGCTTAAAAGTTGACCAGAATTTTGAAAACTTGTGATCAAATATATATCAATATTAATCATTTGATTCCAGTGTTGATTAGAAAAAATTATGTCAGACTTCAGTGGGATTGTAATTGAGTTTATTTATGAGGTCTGTCCGCTGATAATTGGGTGAATGGTTTTGTGCTATAACTTCGGGCACGTGTCGGGGCCCGTGAACTGAACAGTTGATCACATGGGGATCGGTTTGTGCGGTATAGTAGTCCCCAATCGGACGCATTGCATAATAAGGACTTTGCTCTGAGTGTCGGGACGATTGAAGACCCGATTCCTCGCGATTCAAACCAATGGCTGATTCTTTGCGGCTCTTTGTCTGCAGACTTTTTCGCCGACAACAGCAAAAGCATATCATAATCACTACTATTGTCAGCCCTATGGCAGTACTGGCGCCCACGAACAGGGACACATTACCTGTAAATGAAAAATAATAGCATTTTTAGTGAGATCTCGATTTGAACATTTTATTCAATGATATCAATAATTTTTTGAATGCTATATAAAAATAGACATTGATTTATGAACTGAAGTCCAGAAAATGTTTTATTTTAAAAAATGAATTTTGTAAATAAGTCAAGAATCCATTGAAATCAATATTGTTAGCGAAGTATAGCGAAGGGTTTTATTTGTTTTGTAATTCAATTCAATCCAGAATTTTGATTATATTTGTCACTCGAGTGCTCTTAGAATATACTGGAATATACTAAATCTATTAACATGTGTCTGCATTTGACAAATACTGAAAAATGACTTAAATGTATACATTATGCAAATAATTATATTTAGTATTTGCATATAATTATATTGGCATATACTTTCATAGGCTGATTAGAAATATAGCAGACTTTTAGCGATTACATTGAATAAGAGATTTTCTATATATTTGCTCAGAAATGAAGCAAATAATCCATCAAAGGATAAAATAGGAACACATATACCGTACTCACTATACATACACTTTGGAGTAGACATCGATTCTCACGGCTATCGCTAACTATGATATGAGCTATACTTCTATGGAATTTCCTTTTAGCAAAACTACTAAATAAATAATGGATTTCAAACAAAACAAGTAAAAAATATTATTTCAAATACATGAAGTAAGAGATATACAACACAAAGAATTTTTATAATATAAAAATCATATAAAAGTTGTAATATTTATTTTTATGTTATTTTTGTGTTAAAATGCATTTTGTGATCAATAGTTGTTTAGGAAAAATATTTATTAAAGTGTTGAATACATTCGAGACTAAGATATTATTGCCTAAAAAAGATATATCGGTTTACTATCAATAGGTTTATAGTTATTCATAATTTTAATGTATGAATTGATTAATGAAATTCTGTTATTCTCACAGAATATTCTTAAGGCTATAAGACTTGGAATAAATTATTTAAGCGAAACGAAACATATTTTCTAATGTATTTCGCATAAAACCTATAATATTATATTAGTTACTAGTATACGAAAAAAAAGTTTTATAAATTATGTGACATAAGCCATAATTCTTTGAGAAAATACTGCATTCTGTATATCCATTGAAACACTTTTCTAAAACGAATAAAATTTAATTTCAAACATTTCAACAAATTTGTTAAAATATAAATACTTTAATCTCTATTGTATTTAAGCTAAGAAAAGGAAATTTAATTTCATAAATGAAATAATTTATATCAATTTAGCCAATCTTTCAGTGAATAATTCATATGAATTGCCTTTTAAGCAATGAGTACAGTATAGGACTAAGAAAATACTACACAAAGAATTTTCACTCAAACAGATAAGTCACAGATTTTTTGAAGTATACTTTTTCTGTACTTTACAACAAAGTAAAGTATATTTTTATAAGATTTTTAAAAAAGTATTTATGTTTTTAGTGATAAATATTTTTCACACTTATATTTTCTGATAAATTCTTAAGAGATTTCTAGACTTTCTTGGTATAAAAATTCAAAATCATTTTAAAGTTATTCTACACTTTTAGTAATTTAAATTCACAAAAAAACAACTAAACAGTACAGTATATAAACGTTGCAAACGTTTAAAAAACTTAAAAACTACGTTTAAAAACCTTGCGTTCAGTCTAAAGTGCTTTATAACTAATTCAATGTATTATATAAAGTGGATCAATTAAATCTGCAACGATCATTTGTTTAATAGCTCGCTTATTAATTGTAGCTAAAATCTATACTGTGGCACATTTAAAGTTCATTATGAGGTAGCCCTGAATAAACAAGAATATTCTGTGTGACATCAAGAATATTC